AAACAGAAGGAAAAAAGTCTTATTCAAAATAAAAACAGAGCAACCTCAGGAAACAGGATTATCATGAAAAAAAACCTGTAAACTTCACAGACTTCAAAGAATTATTTTAATAAATGGGGACATATTAGGTCTAAAGACTGTAACACTGAATATTTTGAATTTCACATTTCAATTGAATTTCATATTTCAATTCACATTTCACTTTTTAATTGGAGTGGTTCTAGTGTTTCACCATTAAGTACAATACTGGCTACTGCCTTCTCACATTTATTATGTAAGAAACTATTCTATTACTAAATTCCAAAAAATGTAAAATCAGTAAATGGTGTGAGTTTTGAATTTTCAAATCATTTTTTGAGATGGGCATATAGGTAGCTGTTCACCTCTGATCCTACCTGATTATATAACTTCCTAATGCTAAACCTTGTTCTCAATATATCATTCTTTTAAAATGCCACTGGATGAGCTGGGCATAGTAGCTCACGTCTGTAATCCCAATACTCTACAAGGCCAAGGTGGGAGGATCACCTAAGGCCAGGAGTTCAAGACCAGCTTAGGCAACATAGTGAGACCCCATCTCTACAAAAATGTTATAAAATTAGCTGGGTATGGTGGCATGAGCCTGCAGTCCTAGCTACTTAGGAGGTTGTGGAGGGAGCATTGCCTGAGCCCAGGATTACGTTACAGTGAGCTATGACACAGCAAGATCCTGTCTCTAAAACAAACTTTTTAAAATGGCACTGGATTTATTAAAATTTTATATAGTATTTTCTTTTTACTTCTAATTTCATGAGCAAAATTTGTAGTTTGTGTGTGTGTGCTTATCTTTGTTGGACTTCGGTTTCATAGTTTTGCTAACTTTTTAATATGTACTGAAACATTTTCCAATTTTTTTAAGTTCTAGAACACTTTATACAGCACTGGAGTTATCTGTTTCAGGTAGGTTTTTTTGGTCTTGTTTTGTTTTTCAAGAGATAAAGTCTCACTCTGTAACCCAGGCTAGAGCGCAGTGGTGCAATCATAGCTTACTGTAGCCTCAAACTTCAGGGCTCAAGTGATCCTCCTACTTCTGCCTCCCGAGGAGCTGGGACTTATTACAGGTGCACACCACCACACCTGGCTAATTTTTTTTTTATTTTTTAGAGACAAGTCGTGCTGTGTTACCCAGGCTGGTCTTGAACTCTTGGCCTCCAGAGATCCTGCTGCTTCAACCTCCCAAGTAGCTAAGATAATGGGTGCAAACCACCACGCGCTAAGGTAATTTTCTAAACAGACACTCTTAAATATGTAAAACATTAGTAACTTCAAATGTTTTATAGTAACATTATTTTCTCCATTCTTAAATAACTGCCTCTGCTTCTGTGTTCAATACTTCCTAGCTTTGCTGGTTAAAAATTTAAAACCTGTTGGCCTGGCACGGTGGCTCATGCCTGTAATCCCAGCACTTTCAGAGGCCGAGGTAGGCAGATCACAACGTCAGGAGTTCAAGACCAGCGTGGCCAATATGGTGAAACCCCATCTCTAATAAAAAATACAAAAATTAGCCGGGCGTGGTGGTACATGCCTGTAGTCCCAGCTACTCAGGAGGCTGAGACAGAAGAATCACTTGAACCCAGGAGGTGGAGGTTGCAGTGAGTCAAGATCATGCCACTGCACTCCAGCCTGGGCAAAAGAATGAGAGTCCATCTCAAAAAAAAAATTCTTTTTTTTTAACCTTTTAATTATAATATACAAATTATACTTTAAAATGTGCTGATTCCTAAACAAAGCAAGTTTGAATTTATAACGGTTGCAAACATTTTTAGTTTTTTTCCAGAAATTTCACAGCTCAAACCAAACTATATAAAGACACTAATTTCTCATTGTAAAATGCAGTATTAACCATGTCTCAACAATAGTCTCAAGAGCATTTTATTAAAAGTGTAGCTATACTAAGAACACGTGTTTTAACATTACCCAATTAAGGCTATGTTTCTTTTTTCCACTAGATTTTAGTTCAGCAGTTACAAACATGAAGCCCTCGTACTGTTAAATTCCATTATTGCTTATTGATCAGTAATTACCATTCATTTTATTTCTGGTATATATTACTCCCAGATCTGCCGGAATGGAGTCAAAGCCGCTGCTTCCAATGATATAAACCCCTTTTTCTGCAGCTTTCTCATGATACTTCCACTGCATTAGCTCCAGAAACTACAAAATCCAGGACAAGAATTTTAATTAGAGCTATGTAGAAAGACGCAGACCAACATTATAAATAATTTATCTTTAAAAACAAAGCAATTAAACTTTGAAAATGTTAACCAGTGTGGCTCTGCAGCAAAATATTAACTGTCAAAATATTTTTTCACTTATTCAGCAAATAACAGTGCCTACCATGCACCAGGTGATATGGAAGATACGCTGATCTGACTTAATGACATTCAATTTTTGTAGAATGGCTTTTAAATGTAAAAGTATTACCTATTATAACAAATTAAATAAAATATAAAAAAAGGCAAAAGCAGCAAAAAAAATCCTACCCCAAATAGCATTACCCAGGTGAATATCATCACAGACATAGAGCTCTGCCTATGTACAGACAGAGAACAGGAAGGAGAGGATGACAGGGCACAGGGGAATAATGTCTGTTCTGCTCTTCTGCCTGTTTTCAAAATTTATTTTTTAAAAATAAAGATTTACAGGAAAACTGAATAGTAGAGAGTTCCCAAGTACCTTGACACCCAGTTTTCTCTATTTTTCACACCTTTTATATTAATAGTTGTTACAGTTAATGAACTAATGCAGACATATTATTAATTAACTGAAGTTCACAGTTCCTTCAGATTCCCTTAGTTTTTACTGAACACCTTTTTTCTGTTCCAGGATCCCAACCAGGACCCACATTACATTCAGTCATCATATCTCTGTAGGCTTCTTTTGGCTGGGACAGTTTCTCACACTTTCCTCGTTTCTGATAATCCTGACAGTTTTCAGGAGTACTGGTCAGATATTTTGCACAATGCAGCTCTATTGGAATTGATCTTATGTTTTTCTCATTATTAAACTGGGGTTATGAGTTCTGGAAAGAAGACCACAGGGGTACAGTGCTATTCTTATCACATCGAGGCTACACAGTCACATGACTTACCAGCGTTGATACTGACTTGAACACCTGGCTGAGGTAGTGTTTACCAGGTTTCTCCACTGTCAATTTGTGCTCCCTCTCCCTGAGGGTGACACACATACACAATCACACCTGTTCAAGCACGTACACAGACACAAACACACACACCACACACACACACCACACACATACATGCAGACACACACATGCACATACACACATCACAGACACACACACACCATATACATACATGCAGACACACACTCTCATGCACATACACACAGTCACACATATACATACACTTGCTCATGCACACACACAGACACAAATGCATTAACAGTCACACTAACATAGTCACACTCACGCATACACAAACACACTAACACACACACGTCACGCACACAGCTGCTTTCACACAAATGTGGAAAAGCTACATAAATTATTTGGAATTCTTCCACACAGATTTGTCTCTTCTCATCCCCTGCCCATTTTTAAAATGTTATCTTTGTTTCTATTATTGGCTTGTAAAAGTTCTTGTATATTCTGGTTCCTTTTTCTTTTTTGAGACAGAGTCTCACTCTGTCGTCAGGCTGGAGTGCAGTGGTACAATCTCGGCTCACTGCAACCTCCGCCTCCAGGGTCCAAGCGATTCTCCTGCCTCAGCTTCCTGAGTAGCTAGGACTATAGGCACATGCCACCATGCCCAGCTAATCTTTTTATTTTTAGTAGAGATGGGGTCTCACCGTGTTGGCCAGGATGGTCTCAATCTCTTGACTTCGTGATCTGCTTGCCTCGGCCTCCCAAAATGCTGGGATTACAGGCCACCGCACCCAGGCCTCTGGTTCTTTATTAGGTTTGTTGTTGTTGTTTTCAGACAGGGTCTCTCACCCTGTTGCCCAGGCTGGAGTGCAGTAGAGCAATCTTGGCTCACTGCAACCTCCACCTCCCGGGTTCAAGTGATTCGCATGCCTCAGCCTCCCAAGTAGCTGGAATTGCAGACATGCACCACCACATCTGGCTGATTTTTGTATTTTCAGTAGAGACGGGTTTTGCCTTGTTGGCCAGGCTGGCCTCAAACTCCTGGCCTCAAGTAATCTGCCCAGTTTGGCCTCCCAGAGTGCTGCAATTACAGGCATGAGCCACTGTGCCCAGCCCCTTATTAGGTTTTGATATTAATGCCGGGCACGGTGGCTCACGACTATAATCCCAACATTCTGGGAGGCTGAGGTGGGTGGACTGCTTGAGACCAGGAGTTCGAGACCAGCCTGGCCAACATGGTGAAACTCTGTCTCTACTAAAAATACGAAAATTAGCCAAGAGTGGTGGTGGGCACCTGTAGTCCCAGCTACTCGGAAAGTTGAGGTGGAAGAATCGCTTGAACCCAGGTGGCAGAGGTTACAGTGAGCCAAGATTGCACCACTGCACTCCAAGCTGGGTAACAGAGTGAGACCCTGAATTGAAAAAAAAAAAAGTTTTGCTATTACTTTTATGATAGTTTATTAGATGACTTAACAGCTTTTCACCATTTTCCATGCTCTGGGTTATTTTAAATAACATGAGAATTGTTTCACGTTTTTGTTTTGTTTTTTTGGAGACACGGTCTCACTACATTGCCTAACGCCCAGGCTGGGGCGCAGTAACATGATCATAGCTCACTGCAGCCTTGACCTCCCAGGCTCAAGTGATCTTCCTATCTCAGCCTCCTGAGTAGGTGGGACCATAGGTGTGCACCACCAACACCTGGCTAATTTTTTTTTAACCTCCTGGGCTCAAGTCATCCTCCCACCTCAGCCTCTCAAAGCGCTGGGATAACAGGTGTGTGCCACCTCACCTGGCCTTTTTAAAAAATTTATGTTTCTTACGTCTTCTTCAGTCAATTTTGGTAATTTACACTTTCTCAGTGTTTTCCAGTATTTTACCAACTGACAAACTGCAAACACATATTAATATTATATTGGCATGCTGATGACAATCAGTACCGACTACAGAGACATTTGAGGTTACCATTTTAAAAGCTGTATTATAGCTTAACACCTGTTAAAACACAACTTCCTGTGGTCAAGCAAACCTCAATGGAAGACCTAGTTCTTCTACGTTACTGAGCAAGTTACTTAAGCTTCCTAAGCTTTAATTATCTCATCTATAAAAAATACAGCAAGATGATAACTACTCTATAGGTATGTTTTTTAAAAGTTACATAAAACATTTAGCACAATGTTGGGCACATGGTAAGCATTCAATAAATGTGAACATTTAAAATGTTTAGGTTGATTTTATACTAGTGAATTTTACCTTTATTTTTCTGTAATGTCATAAAGGTACCTGATTTTTAAAAGGAAATTCAAAATGAAAACTTTACAAAAGTGAGATTCTAAGAATTATGTATAGTCCGTTATCTTATTTAATTCAGTTTAAAGCATGAAGTAGCTATAATAAGCACAGACGGAAAATAAATGATGTTGTAAAGAATAAAATTCAAGAAAGCCAAATCTAAGACCTTACCATCAGTGCTCTCCTTTGAGCTATCAACAGAATACCATACAAATACCATCTCTAAACACTAGAAAGGAGTTGCTGGCTTCTAAATATGTCTGCAAAATTGCACTAGATTTTTTTTTCCTTTTCGTCTTATATACCTGAGGTTCTCCACTGATGTCGATACAACTGGCTCCATTTTCTATACACGCTTTTATTACAGGTTCTCCATAAAATCGATACTAGGGAAATAAAAAGAACAAACAGGTTATTCTTGATAAGTTTAAATGAATAAAATGCCATCTAATCCTGGAAGTGAACAGTCCTAGTTATCAAGAAGTCAAATGTTAATAAAATAGCCTAAAGATAAATTGAGAAAATGACCAAGCGAGGTGGCTCTTGTCTGTAATCCCAACACTTTGGGAGGCCACGGCCGGGCAGTATTGAGAAACATTAAGTTTACCCTGCCCCCGTGGCTCCCTTGTGAATACCTTTTAGTTTGTAATTAGTGGTAGGCAGGTAACAGCTGCCTATTTGGAATATTTATGCGTTATGAGTGAATGCAGGACACCTGTTTATTAATAATGTTCACCTGTTAAGAGAGAATAAGTATGTGGATGAGAGTCTGCTCGGGGCCTTCAGCCTGGAATGCTGTCAGCCCCTGAGGCTCTCAGCTGGGTAGGCTGCTCCCCCTAGATAGATCCACTTTGCTGTTCTATCTGTGTGTCTGCCTCTCATTGCCTTCGGCGCTGCCTGGGTGGGGTCTCCCTGGCCAAGCTCGTACTCGGTAAGTGGTGCCCAAGTGTGGGGACTTGAACCCAGGATGAAGAGTTGCCTGAATAAAGGAGAGACGAGAGGCTAAGCTGAAGGTATCCCGAGTACTCTTGGAAAAAATCCCTGGGGTAAGTTGGGAGCTTGGAAGGGACCCAGGAAATTTTGAAAGACCCTCCCAGGTGAGTTAGGGAGAACCCAGAACTAGACCGAGAACTCTTGAAAAAATTTCCCAGCGTGAACTGGGGGAACTCAGCATTATTAGGGCAACATGGCACAAGGATCAAGCAAGTGAGAGGCTTGTTCTGGTTTCCTTCAACAGCTGCTTAAAAGAGGGGGAACTGAAGCTGGTGCTGAGTTTAACACAGTTTTTTGACGCGGCTGAAGAATTTTTGATGTGGTTTCCTGAGCAGGGAGCACTGATCATGGAAGAATGGGAAACAGTGGGTACTACTTTAAGGAAGGTACAATGAGGAGGAGTAAAAGATATTTCTATTCCTGTGTGGTCTGTTTGGCTTTGGTGCCTTCTGCCCTGGAGCTGTTTCAGACAGACGATGAGGACAAGGATTCAGAAGATTCTGGAGAGGAGAAGGAGTGTGATGAAGTATGTAGAGAAATTACAGAGCAAAAGGATGAGAAGTTAAATGAGGAAGGGGGGGCCCCTTGGGGTTATTTTACCCCAAAATTTCTGAAATTGGCCATTAGTCCACCTGCTTTGGAATCTCCTGGGTCACATGCTGGTTACTCAGTCCCACTCCAGACCCCCAGAATCAGGCTTTCTGAGGTAGACCCCAGTAAGCTGCATTTTAAATAATCTTCACAGGCGATTCTTGTGTACTTCAAAGATGGAGAATCACTGCCCTGGACATTCTCCCAGGAAATCTCACCTACTCTCCCAGCTTCAATAAAATCTGAGCTGACGACTTCCAACCCCTATGTCTAGAGTTGTTCACTAATAAGGTTTCCCTATCTGTAGTTTTTGTTAAAGGTGAGGAGCAGGGACAGCACAGGGCATGCGGCATGAGCCACACATAAAACTTAATTTCACTTTGCCTACATTTTCCTTTTATTTTCTCTTCACTTTGATTTTCTCACTTATAAAACACATATACAAACAATGTGTTATTTGTATTTTTGTCTTGATGCAAAGTATCTAGCAGATCTTCAATTTCAACAAGTCTAAAACTGAATTCATCATCTCTCTCCAAACCTATTTCTCCTCCTCCTCTACTTCCTAGGACATGCTTCAACACGTAGCCTGCAGGCCGGTGTGGTAGCTCAAACCTGTAATTCCAGCACTTTGGGATGCTGAGCCAGAAGGATCACTTTGAGACCCTGTCTCCCTAAGAAAAATACACACACACACACACACACACACACACACACACACGGCCAGGCACAATGGCTCATGTCTATAATTGCAACACTTTGGGAGACCAAGATGAGTGAATCACTTGAGCTGAGGAGCTAGAGACCACCCTGAGCAACACAGTAAAACCCTGTCTCTACAAAAAATACAAAAATTAGCTAGATGTGGTGGCATGCGCCTGTAGTCCCAGCTACTTGCAGGGCTGAGGAGGAAAGATCACTTGAGCCCAGGAGGTTGAGGCTGCAGTCAGCTGTGTTCATGCCACTGCACTCTAGCCTGGGCAACAAAGTGAGACCCCCATCTCAAAAAAATAAAAAGAAAAAACAAAGTATAGCCTCCAGTTCAGCCTGCCCAGGTGCCACTTCTAACATCTTCCTGATGTGTTCAAATAAGGGAGGACCCTGAGACAAAACTGTGCAAATGGCTGAAGAGCAGAGTGGTCTAGAGTATGGACTTTAAAGGCAGGCCAGACTTATGTCCAGGCTCTGTAGCCACTAGCTGTGTGACCTTGGACAAGTTACTTTCTCTAAGCATCAACCTCTTCTATCAAAGAATGGTGATTAATAACAACACCGACTTCCCTGGGTAGTCGTAAGGATGAAATAAGAGAATGCAAAGAACTTAGCACTGTACCAGGCACATGGCATTCAGATTTATTCTTTTTTGTTATTATTAATGGCATTACTCCCCACATAGTTCTCAGGTTAAAACCTGGAAGCAGGTTGGGTGTAGTGGCTCATGCCTGTAATCCCAGCACTTTGGGAGGCCAAGGCAGGTAGATCACTTGAGGTCAAGAGTTCAAGACCGGCCTGACCAATATGGTGAAACCTCATCTCTACTAAAAATACAAAAATTAGCTGGGGGTGGTGATATGCACCTGTAGTTCCAGCTACACAGGAGAATTGCTTGAACCCAGGAGGCAGAGGTTGCAGTAAGATGAGACCGCGCCACTGCACTCTAGCCTGGGTGACGGAGCAAGATCCCGCCTCAAAAAAAAAAAAAAAAATCTGGAAGCAGTCTTTCACAATACCCATATTGGAAGTCACAAAGTTTTATCCGGTTTCCTCTCCCCTACACAACTGTATCTTAGTTCAGACCCTGTCGACACTCATCCAATTTACTACAAATAGGCCCTAACTGGTTACATGGCAGCCAGCTAGCCCCATCTCCAAATAAATAACAAATTGGTTTTTTTTTCTTTTTGTACAATACTATATTTGAAAACAAAACAAAACAAAAACAAAAAACCAAACCTACAAGATTCACAAAATTGGACAATTGTCTTTATGACATTACTACTGGCAAAATCAGGAAGGACTGCTGGTGTGCAGTCATCTGAACAGCCTCTCTAGTTTCATAGATATGATTTCTCTCTGATATGGAAGGGCTTCCAATTTTAAGTGCAATGCTACTTCAAAAGATAACCATGTTTGAAAGGAATCTTTTTTTTTTTTTTTCAGAGGATTGGCTTATTTTTTAATTGCATTTTAGGTTTTGGGGTACATGTGAAGAACATGCAAGATTGTCGTATAGGTACACACGTGGCAGTGTGATTTGCTGCCTTCCTCCCCTTCACCTTTATCTGGCATTTCTCCCCATGCTATCTCTCCCCAGCTCCCCTCCCCTATTTCCCCCCAACAGACCCCAGTGTGTGATGCTCCCCTCCCTGTGTCTATGTGTTCTCATTGTTCAACACCCGCCTACGAGTGAGAACATGTGGTGTTTGATTTTCTGCTCTTGTGTCAGTGTGCTGAGAATGATGGTTTCCAGGTTCATCCATGTCCCTACAAAGGACCCAAACTCATCGTTTTTGATGGCTGCATAATATTCCATGGTGTATATGTGCCACATTTTCCCTGTCCAGTCTATCATCGATGGGCATTTGGGTTGGTTCCAGGTCTTTGCTATTGTAAACAGTGCTGCAATGAACATTCGTGTGCATATGTCCTTATAGTAGAACGATTTATAATCCTTTGGATATATACCCAGTAATGGGATTGCTGGGTCA